GTTCCAACTGCCACTATAAATCTTCCTCTGTTCGATACAAATGAAGAGACCAGAGCATCCCTTCCACTCTGAGCAGAAACCAATCAGTCTCCTCCTACTGAAAATACTCACAGAGCAACAGGCTTGTACACATCCTGCCTTCTGATTTTAATGACAATATTACAATGGAGATGATGCCACATCCTGGCCTACACCCCAGAGTAGGAGTGATAATTGACTCACTGCAACTTGTGAATATTATGAAGAAGAAATATCTTCTTAAAGAGTTAGAAAATGGCAACATTCAGCCAGACTTGGACTTCATATTTCTATGGGGCAGGAGAAGGAAATGGTCTTGGGTCAAACTAGAACCCATTAATGGTATTATTATTTGATTCCTAGAACTTAAATGGTGTTATCTTGTGTGTTGGTTTACTACAGATGCCATAACAAAGTACCACAGACTGGGTGGCTTAACAAAAATTTATTTTTTCACAATTCTGGAAGCTAAAAGTCTAAGATCAAGGTCTTGGTGTGGCTGGTTTCTTCTGAGGCTTCTTTCAGCTTATAGATAGCTGTCTTCTCCCTGTTCTTCACATGGTCTCCCTGGGTGTCTTTACATGGTCTGTGTGTCTATGCCCTAATCTTCTTTTCCTCCTCCTCCTCCTCCTTCTTCTTCTTCTTTTTGACTTATTTATTTGAGAGAGAGAGAGAGGGAGAGTGAGCATGTGAGAGCGGGGTGAAGGGCAGAGGGAGAGAGAGAATCCTGAGCAGACTCCCCTCTGAGTGTGGAGCCTGATGTGGGGCTTGATCCCAGGACCCTGAGATCATGGCCTGAGCCAAAATCAAGAGTTGACCACTTAACCAACTTAGCCACCCAAGCACCCTCTAATCTCTTCTTACTGGAACATCAGTCATATTGTATTAGAGCCTGCACTAATGTCCTCATTTTAACTTAGTACTTTTTAAAAGACCCTATCTCCAAATACAGTCACTTTCTGAGGTATGAGGGGTTAGAACTTCAACATACGAATTTTGAGGGAGCACAGTTCAGCCCATAACACCTTGTAAGATAAATCAGTGATCTATTTTGTTCTCAAGAAATTTGCCCTGTGCTATGTCCTTTATCTTTTCCTTCTCCCCACAGTCTTGTCCAACCCCCACTACCAAAACCACCTAGCCCCAGTTTCATAGCACTTCAAACACTAATTCATGAATATAACATTGCTATTGACATTGGCAGCTCCATTTCACTGACTTGGTGTTCCAGAAAATCTTGTGTAGATTAAAATACCAGTTCTCCATGAAACATCTTCAAGGAGTCCTTCTAGAGGCCATTGTTCCTTGACCCACTTCTATGCTTCTACTCATTTTAGTATCTAAGTTAAGTCCAAGGTCTATATCAAGACCTCTGTCTACTGGTCTACTCATTTCCTTAGATTCTGGTTTCTTGATAAGCTTGTTTTATCTTTTAGTCATTTTTCCAGAATGGAACTCTCTTTTTCTCTCTCTTGATTCTTAGTCGTTACCCAGAAAGAAATCATTAGAAGTTGGCTTGATCTTGTTCATTCCAACTAAGCGTATTTGTCTTCATCTATTCACACGAGAGATGCATGTTTCACCTTGTAGCACAACTCAGGCTAACTTACAGTCTTGATGCCTTGTTTGCCACTCCGTTTGTTCTCCACCCTGAATATACTAAGCTGATGGTTTCAGTGATGTTACATAACAGGGATTTCATCAGCTTTCTGGCTAGTAACATATATGGTTATGTTTGTGACCTCATATGCTCTAGGACCATGTAGCTCTCAGACAAAATTTAATTACACTGATGAGCATCCTAAATTGAATATGTCATCAAGCATAATAACAATGTCAAATCTATCACTGGCAAAGGATATCAGTCTATCAGTGATAACCAATTAATATTTTGTAAGGTCTTTGAAACAGAAGCGTTTATAGACATTTCCAGACACCAAGAAGAGTTAATAGGATTATTAACTCATAGGACTAGTTTTTTCCCTATATTTTCTTCTTTCTAATTTAAGCCCCAGCTATTGAGATAGTTTCAAAATAGTTTATTTTTTTTTAAGATTTTATTTATTTGTCAGAGAGAGAGAGAGCACAAGCAGGGAGAGAGGGAGAAGCAGGCTCTCTGCCAAGCAGGGAGCCCGATGTGGGACTCAATCCCAGGACCCTGGGATCATGACCTGAGCCAAAGGCTGACTCTTAGCCGACTGAACCACCCAGGCATCCCAGTATAAAATAGTTTAAGTCTGGGTACCTAAATGACGAGATAATAATTGTTCTTCTGATGCTATAGAACGCAACCTCCTCTTGAATAAACTTGAAAGGAGACTTTGCTGAAACAGGTTTGTAAAACCAAGTTTTTTCAACTTTTACAAGCAGCCACTTTCCAATCCTCTGGCGAGCTTGCCACAGGCAGCCTCCCCTATATAAATATGCAGTTAGAAAGATAAACACTCATTAAAGTCCCTAGTGGTAGCATTGTTTCTCAGAGTTCAGCAATATTTGTTCAGTAAGTAGATAAAGAAAGAGATTAGCAATGTTTCCATTGGGTTTTACTCCTTCCTAAAGCCAACCAGCCTTCTCCCTAGGAGAAAGGCAGTAATCTGTGTGTGTGTTCCAGAATGTCTCAGGACAACTTTCTACTTCAAGAGCAAACCAAACTCCTCATTGGGTACATGCTAAGCCATTCATTTTTTTAGGGCCATTAATTTTAGTAACTTAGTAGGTCAGACCTCCAAAATAATAGGAGTAAATCTGTAGAATAAATTTCCTATTTAAACATGTTAATATAGCTTAAATATTTACACATGAAACTAAAAATGATTTGGGTAGCTGCTCTAATCTCATTTCATAGACTTACAGACCCTCTAAGAGCTTGATCTATCAGTTAGTGTAGAAAGAGCTCTGGTCTTAGTTCCAGCTGAATTAGGCCAAGGACTAACCGTATGATCTCTGAGAAAGCTGGGCTAGGCTTTCCTTATAAAATAAAGAAGAATGGAGTAGATGAGCTCTAATATCCTTCTGACTCTGAAAATTTATGATATGCTCTTGGGAAAAACAGCTCTCATCTTCCTATCTCTAAATGTTTTGGTGAGATCAAATGTCAGGATGTACTCCAAAGCATCGTGTTGACCATGGAATAGAATTCACAGGTGAGGGGTAGCTGTATTTGCTTTCTTAAGTCAGCATTTGGCAGAATAAATGAAAGAAAAACAATAGCAGAAAATGTTTGCCCCTCCACTTTAAAGAAGGAAGGAAATAATTTTAGATTCTAGAGTTATTTATGGCTCTTTCAGATAGAGATTGGGTGAAGTAATTAAATTTGTCATGTGTTAATATGCTGGTTCTAAGCAGCTAATATAAAATCTTTGTCAAACAAAGCAATATGGTTCTCATATCTGATTAAAATTTTCAAAATGTTAACAAACTAATCTTTTCAGAAGAGAAATCTAGTATTTAGGCATATGTTATTTTCTTTAAACTTTTTCATTCGTTGATTAATTTAAAGTACTTTTCCAGGGTCTGGGGATACAGTGGTGAACAAAACAGGCAGAGTCCCTTCTACCAGGGAGCTTAACTTCCAACACTAGTGAGGGAATATAAAAATACATGTAAATAAGCTAATAACTATCCCAAATCAGTAGAGGGCTAAGTGCCATAGTAACATTTAAACAGAGTAAGAAAGATGGGGGAGTATCAAAGAGGGGAAATGCTGTTTTCTATGGACTGGCCAGGGAATACGTCAATGATACAGAATAACAGGAGACTGGGAAGGAACAAAGAGGAAGTCATGTAGATACAGTCCAGGTAGAAGGAACAGTAAAGGCAAAAGCTCTATGCAAGTGGGACCTTGGGGTATCTGGGAAACAGCAAGAAGGCCAGAGTGGTAGAGTAAGAATGAGAGGAATGATTCCCCATTATTTTTTCCAAGGAAAGAGTGATCAAACTTAACTTCATCTTAACATCTACTTTAAGTCCAGCAGAAACTTTTTTTTAAAAAAGACTTTATTTATGTATGTATGTATTTATCTGAGAAAAAGAGAGAGTGCATGCACAAGCAGGGCGGGGGCGCCAGAGGGAGAGAATCTCAAGCGGACTTAGTGCTGAACGCATAGCCTGACATGGGGCTCGAGGCGGGGCTCGATCCCAGGACCCCAAGATCATGACCTGAACCGAAATCAAAAGTCGGACACTTAACCGACTGAGCCACCCAGGCACCCCAAGTCCAGCAGAAACTCTTCACTGAACTTTTTGTTTTGTGACTCAGTTTTTCATTTGTAAACTGGGGATAATAATAGTACCTCATAGGCTTGTGAGAACTAAGTGACTTACTAAATATAAAGAATAATTAAGACAGTATCTACCACAGAGTAGACCATGGAGGGCTAGTTTTTATTACTATCATCATCATCTCTTTATTCACAACAACATCAATAATTCAATTTTTTAAGTCAATAGTATTATTTTGGGTCAACCATTAATTATTGGGAGAGTTTCCTTACACGTGTTCTTAGGACATTAGGTAAGGTTCTGGTATGTGATGACTCAAGCTCAGAGGTTCATGTCATCAAATGTCTTACAGAGAACTTACAATAACATGGAAAAGAACTGGGGATTGAGATTTATATGTTAACTTAGGCATAAAATGATTATGATATATGCATATACTCACTTGAGTTTTTCTTTATTTTTTTTTTCAGTCAATCTTAGTTTCCTCTCCTGATGGCAACACAGAATTCTTGGATGTTTGCAATCTCTTTCACATTCATTTCCAGCATGTGGTCTGAATTGATTCCTTGTTTCTCAATTACAACCATCATAGAATCAAGATTAATAACCTGCTTGGTGAGTTTTGTACACTTTGGAATCTGGAGCTTTTGTACTCATTGTGGCCTGTTGGGCTCTCTGTGGTTCTTTCTAAATGCTCCTGCAGTGAAGGTCAAGGACAACAGCAAAGACAGGGAACCTGCCTGCCTTTGGGCCATCCCTACCTGTTTCCATGATTTCTTCTCTTCTCCCAGGGATGTAATCATTGTTGAGGAGAGTCTGGAAGTGGATTTAAAGTTCATTAATATAACCCCTGTACTTAGAATAATGCCTGACATATTGGAGGTACTCACTAAGTATTTGTGGAATAATTAAACATATGAGAGGTCTGGTGGACCATGTTGCACTCTACTAAACAGACTGTCACTGAAGCATGACAGAGAGGTAGAGCACCTGTCTACTGTACTATCCTGTGGGGCTGGACTCCCATCTCTACCTGCCGCATGGAGCATCTGCCTATTATCATCAGGCCCTTCAAATCAAGGCACAGGGTACCCAGGGCAGGTTTTACTTTTCATGGCCATTGCACTTGGTTTCACTAGTTCCAAGAGGTTGAGCAGAACTTATGAAGAAAGAAAGAAAGAAAGAAAGAAAGAAAGAAAGAAAGAAAGAAAGAAAGAAAGAAAGAAAGAAAGAAAGAAAGAAAGAAGGCATCCTGGAAAGATTTTTATTCCTGGGCTCACTGGTCATTCCCTCAACATTCCTCCAGAAAATACTTAATAGCAGCCCCTTCTGTATTGAACATAGGCCAAAGTAACATAATACTGTAGACCTGTATACTCTAATTAGTATAAATAAATACAACCAAATAAAATACTTCATGAGAATCATAAGTGGCACAAAAATAGGATTCTATATACCATATAATGTCAAATGGGATGATTGATTTTCAGTGAGGAGAACAGGAAAGCTTCAGAGAAGAGGTGGTATTCTCTTTATCATGGAAAGAATGAAGAACATTTCAATAGGCAGAGTTGTGTGTTATTAATAAATACTGTAATTATAAAATAGTAATATTACAACCATCTGTCAGAAAGTTTCATTATTAATCCATATTAATCCAAATATGTCTCTGAATTTTTGTCTGTGATTCCTTGTGCTCCAAAACTGTGATTCTGAGCCACTTTAACCAAGAAACACCTATAGGTAAGAACAAGTCAGTTTATAAGGCCATGTGCTGGGACACTATTATAGGATTTGGTGGAGGTATTGCCCTTTCTTCCTTCTTTTCTTTACTACACACGTGAGAGATCTGTCCCAGATGACAGATTTCTGATGTTCATTCTTTCTCAGTTAATAATTGTATTTATTTTATTGCAAAAAATGAATTACCATCTTTCTCTGAGAATGCTTTCAAGTGTCCTATTTCTCCTGACTAAGGACGAAAAGTGGAGACTGTGACAGGTGTTTAATATATTTGAGAAAGATCTAAAGGAAGGATGAGATTGAGGGATTTTTCAAATTCCCTTCCTATAATTTTGCTCATTTATTCAGCAGCTATTCATGAAGTGCCTGCTTTGTCTCATTCTAGACAATAGAGTATTCCTGGTAGAGTTGTTAAGCGTTATTAATTTATACTCTATTCAATAGAAATGCCGTACTTTTTTTCATATATGATGTGTGATCCAACATCTAGATAAAGGCTTTAATTTTGGTTGTTCGTTTCCCCAACAGCGTTGATGAGTCCCATTACTCAAGGAGCATTTAATGGTAAGAAGCAAGGAGCATAGTCGGGGGACATGCATTCAACTAGTATTTACTGAGCCAGGTACTATATATAAAATTTAACGTTATGAGTAGTTTAGTTTTCTGAAAATGACAATCAGTCGAAGATAGAAAAAGGCGGTCAGTTTTAAAGTTGAGCACAACATGTATTTTTGTTCTGAAAGGGAGAAGGAAGGTGTGGGAAGAAGGCAGACAAAGCAAGTTGAAGATCAGTTTGCCCATAGGGAGAAATTCATTGCCCACCAAAGAAATGTCCATTTAAACAAGGACAGATGATCTGCTACCTGCTGGACGATACAAAAGGTGACTTGTGCCTAAGGTTCGCTCCGCCTGTCGCGCCGCAAGCCGCACATGGTGGCTAACACGTCCTGCAACGCTGGGGACAGCCGGGCCGCTGGGGAGCCACAGACAACCCGCGCTCCGCGTGCTGGAGCCGGCAGCCGCCCCCACCTGCGGCACGGCGCCGGAGCCCCGCCCCCTAGGGCGCGCGGGCCAATGGGCTGGGCCCCAGGGGGCGTGCCGCGGCCGGGCGGGCGGTGCGAGGCCCGGGGGGCGGAGCGAGCGGGGCGGGGCGGTGGTGGCCGTAGCTGCTGGGGCTGCTGTGGCGGCAGCGGCGGCGGCGGCGGCGGCGGCGGCTTGGCCCGGCGTCCGCGGGCCGTGGGGGATGGGGGCGGCGAACTCCAGCCCTCGGCGGAGGCGGCGGCGGCCGTGAGTGTTGGGCGGGCGTCCGCGTCCGAGACGCGGGATGGAGCGCCGCGGTGAGTGTGGGGCGGCGGCCCTCGCTCCGGCCGCGGCGGCTGGGGCTCGGGGCTGGGGTCGTCCGCGGTGCGGCGGGCCAGTTGCGGTCCAGGGTGTGGGTGGCCCATGCGGCGGCCCCGAGCCGAGGCGGCTGCGGGCTGCGCTGAGGGTCGGGCTCGTGTCCTCTGTGCTGCTGGTTCTCCGGGAGGGGTCCGATGGGGCGAACGGCGCCCCGGGTGCAGTAGGAGCGGAGGAACCGGGAAGGGCGCGAGCATTCGCTGCGCGGACACTTTGGACCCCGGATGGGTGTCCTGAATTAGGCGGCGCCGCGCGGCCGCGGGGGAAAGGCTCGCCCGGCAGACTTTCATCCCCTTCCAGGTTCTCCCCCCGAGCGTCCTGCAGCCCCTCTCGCTTTTCTGGCCACAAGCCCTCATCGCCTCCGTGCGCAGTTTGGGGTTTCCTTTACCCCCTTACCCTATTGGTTTCCTTCACTGGGACTTAACGTTCGTCTTCCTCGCTTGGGATCTTTTTTTGGAAGTTTGGTGGCGTTTCCTGAAATTTCAGTCTGACAACTGGCAAGGATGAGATAAAATAACAGACATCTCGTGTTCCATATCTACCTTTTCTTATCACAACTCACGTCACCTAGGCCCAGGCTGTTTATTATTTGGAGAGGTGGGGGAAGAACTGAAGATGGAAAAACACTCTCCCTTTCTGAGTGCCCCCACTCATGCTTCTCTTTCACTCTCTCCACACGACTCCCCTCTCCCTACTCCTTTTCCCGTAGTAACTGGCCCTTCACCACCACCCCCTCCGTCCACCTTTTCTCAAGCCTTGGCTCTAGGACAAGTCCTGTGCTTTGCAAAATGGAATTGACAGGCGGGGGCTTGGAGCTATTGGGAAGACAACGTATCCCTGTGAGTTTGTTTGTTTCCCTGGATGTCCCAGGACCCTATCATGGAAACTTGGTGCTGAAGGCGGTCTTCCTTTGGCCAGAAGAGGTAGCCAGGGGCTCTCCTTGTCTTTGAGCCCATCTGAAATGTCCAGGGTCTATCTCGCTTTTTCACCACCACCACTCTTTACAGACAAGGGTGAGGTGTTTTTTGTTTATTTGTTTTTGTTTTTTGTTTTTACCACTACCCCTCTGTACATTGGGGTTTGGGGATTTTTTTTTGACATCCTCAGTCTTCTAATATTGGATATTTGGGGAGTATTAAGTGTTTGGTGAAAGTTCCAAGACTCTGGTGGAGCCAAAATTGCCATCAAGCTTTTTGTTCCTCATTTCTCTTTTCCTTTCCTCTTTTAGTGGGAATTAGCTTTGCATCTTCATTCCATTTGGGAAAGGGGTTTTCTCTTCAAAAAAAAGAATTCATGAGTAAAGAAGTCAGAACAAATTATGAGAATCTTGGAGATTTAGATTCCTTTCTTCAGAGATTTCTTTAGGCAGTTTGCCAGAAATGCATAATTAGAAATGCTTCCTGATTGTAGGAACAGTGCAAGTGAGGAGCCCTGACACTTAAAATTCATTAGCTTTATGGCACAAATAGCTCTGGTCGTCTGATTCTGAGAAGGGTTTGAGAGTGAACTTGAGGGAAAGTAAGGTAGGTCTGGGTAGAAAATGTTTCAGTCCCCAAATTGGTAGGAAATAGAACTTTGGCTGAGATGAAGAAAGCACTGTTCAGCAAATCGGTGGTGGCTGGTGGTTCCTACTCTGCCCATCTGTCTAAAATAGAACATCCACCTAAATTATCGGTGCCTTCACTTCCCAGCTGTAGAAGCCCTTGACCTAGGAATGTGGGCTTCTACAACCACTGCTGTTGGTCCCAGGAGTCAGCACTGTGTTGAACAAAGCCCACACCCAGAAGGCCCCCTGGAAGGATTTGGATTCCTGTGCCATTGGTGATTCATTCAGCAGTCACCCAGATACTTGAGTTTCATCCCACTGTATGTTAGACAGGGTCCTGTGGAAACTTTCATAGGTAGTTACAAATTGATAGGGCCCAAGGCATAATATATTGGGTTACCCAGGAAAGTATATTAAATGTCCTATAGGAAAGTAGAAGGATGATTTATTTTCAGTGGAGGGGATGAAATGAAAAGACTTCTTGGAAGAAATGATGTTTTGTGTGAGATTGAAATTAAGAGAATAATTTCAGTAAGCACAGAAGGCAGAAAGGCCCTTCTGGACAGAATTGCTGGTTATATGTAATGCATACCAGGATGTTACTGATCAGCTTCCGTGATTTTGCTTTGAAGGCTATTTTGTTTGTTTTTCGTTTCCTACCTCAGCTCCAGATGATGATGAGCCACAGTACATAAGGACACATGGATGTGTAACGAAACAAGGAGGTTTAAAAGGAAAGTCAGGAACATGTTTTGGTACATGAGGATTTTTGTGGAGTGTTTACCCTTCCTTCTTTATCTTTATTATTACTCTGATAAGCAAAATAGCCATTTGCTTGTACTGCCCCCTTAGATAAGAATTTTTCTTTTTCTTAGAAAATGTTTCAGTATTTGTCATTGGGAAAGTTTTCAAATACCATAGTCTTCCTTCCCAAGGAAGAAGATGGAAAATAGTTTGAAAAGTATTAAGGAAGGGAGTCAGTTGAGTTTGAAGGACTATTCAAATGTACCATTCTGTAATTTTATAATTTATTTATCTAATATTCATTGAGCACTAGCATGCTATCAGATTTTTATACACTTTGAGTGAGTTTTGACAAACATGTACACCCATGTAATTACCTCTGTAAATCAAGATCTTAGAACATTGCCATCACTCCAAAAAGTTCCCTCCTGCTCATTTGGAACTCCCCCCCATCACACTACAACCCCTGTCCCCAGGCAACAAATCATGCTTTTTGTTACTAAAGATTAGGTTCATCATCTTCTAGAATTAATGTAAATGGAATTATACAGTATATATTCGTTTGTGCCTGGCTTCTTTCATTTAACATAACGCTTTTGAGATTTACCCATGGTTTTTGCTATATCATGGATATCTATTGTTAAATAGTATTCCATTTTAAGGCTATGTCACAATTTGTTTATGCATTCATCTGTTGATGGACCTTTGGTTTTTCTCCAGTTTTTGACTCTCATGAAAAAAAGTTGCTGTGTACATTTATGTACAAGTTTTTGGATGAACGTACGTTTTCATTTCTGCTGGGTTGTATGGTAAATATATGTTTAATTGTATAAGAAACTGCCAGCCTGTTTTCCAAAGTGGTACTTCATGTAGCAGCAATGTGTGAGAGTTTTAGTTGCTCTACATCCTACCCAAAATTTGATATTTAATTCTAGCTAAAATTAGGAATTCTCATAGATATTTAGTGGTATCTCATTGTGGTTTAAATTTGCATTTCCCTGGTACTAATGATGTTGAACACTATTTCAGGTGCTTATTGCCCATTTGTGTATCTTCTTTTGCAAAGTTTCTGTTCAAATATTTTACTCATTAATTTATTGGGTTGTTTGTTTCTTATGAGTTATAACAGTTCTTGATATAATTTGGATACAATTCCTTTGTCAGATATTTTCTCCCAATTTGTGGCTTATCTTTCATTTCTTAAGTTGTTTTTCGAAGAGCAGAGGTTCTAAATATTGATGATGTCCAGTTTAACAATGTTTTCTTTTGTGGTTCTTGCTTCTTGTGTCTGTTTGAGAAACTGTTCCCTAGATTTTCTCCCATGTTTTCTTGAAAGGGAGGGATTCTCGAACTTTTTCTTAAAGGACTAGATTATAAATATTTTAGGCTTGTAGACTGTAGCACCTCAACTATTCAACTTTGCTGTTGTAGTTCAAAAGCAATTATTGACAATACATAAACATTTAGGGATGGCTGTGTTCCCCCCAAACTTTTATTTATAAAAACAGGCAGCTGCCCCCTCTGAATCCTGAATTTAAAAGGCTGATAGATTTAGGTTATATGTTTAGGTTTATGATACATGTTGAGTTTAATTTAAGGTATGCTGTGAAGTAAGAGTCCAGGATCATTTGTTTCTCATATGGATATCAACTTATTTCCCCATCATTTATTGAAGAGACTATCTTTTCCCCCATTGAATTGCTTTGACACAGTTGACTGTATATATGTGGTTCTGTTTCTGGACTCTATTCTATTATGTTAATGCGTGTCTCTAAATCAATGTCATGCTATTTTGATTACTGTAGCTCTGTAGTTAAGTTTTGAAATCAGGCAGTGTAAGTCCTCAAACTGTTCTTTTTCAAAATTGTTTTGACCATTCCAGTTCTTTTCCATAATCATATATATTTTACACTCAGCCTGTCAATTTCTACAAAAAAGCCAGGAGGAATATTGTTTAGGATTACTTCAAACTATTGATCTATTTGAGAGAAATAAAAGTTTTAACAGTATTGAGTCTTCCAATCCATGAACATGGTATACTTGTTGATTTATTCACTTCTTTAATTTCTTGCATTAGTGTTTTGTAGTTTTAAATTTAAGATCTTGTATGTGTTTTATTAAATTTATTCCTAAAAAATCTTGTTTTTTGATGTAATTGTAAATGGTACTAGTTTCTAAAATTTTATTGTCCAATTGTTTGTTGCTAGTATATAGAAATAAATTTGAAGTATACTGACTTTATATTCTGTGACCTTATAATATTCATTTATT